AGAGAAATGAATAGGACAAAACGAAGTCAAAAAGAACCTTCGATTTTTCGAAGAAGTAGGAAGGGTGGCCGAGCGTCTGCGTTTTCGATCAAGGCTGATGGGTCAGACTCACCCGAGGATCCCCAATCCTCTTGTCCCTTTTCTTGACCCTTCTCGATAGTGGTGACCTTAGTAGATTTCGAAGCGCCAATGAAAGAAGACAGATTAGCTTATAATATACGAGAATCGAAAAGTATAAGACAACGGTAAAATCTCACCAAAAGGTGATGGAGTCAAGATCTTGACTCGGTCGATATGTACAAGCCAGGGAGGCAGAAGAGCCTCAGGGAGGTTAAGGTAAGAGAAATAAGATAATTTCGAGACAGAAATATCTTTGTTTTTGGGTTTTGGGTGACGTGTTTCCCTGAGGGTTCTCAATTCTCGAACCCATTTTGGATGAGTTAATGGTTTGGCAAGTCCAAAAGGAGCTGTAGGAAAAGTAGGAAGGCGATTTGGACAATATATTTCAAAAGGGGTTCTACCTAAAGGATTGATTATTTTGTGATTCGATCGATTAATGTCCGTTTTATTGGATAAGGAGATAACAGCATCATAATAGGTCGATTCTAATTTCAGTGGGGTGTAACATATTTGATAAAAGTTCTCGAATCGAGATATTTGAAGACAGTGGAAGTGTGTACCTTTCTTCGATTTCGATTTGTCCTGCAACACAAGAGAAGGTTGAGCAGTCAGTTTTTGTCGAACTTCATCAAAAGTAGCATGACTACCGAGAACCAACCGTTCCACCATTGAGAAAAACCCACGAGTTGATAAATAATTCGACTCGAAAGTATAGGGGTAAAAATGCATCGGGGTTTTTGGTAAAAGCTCAACAAGCTCCCGACTAATGGTGGATTCGGTTAACTTGGACTTTGGGGAAATATCAAGAGAGAAGAAAGGCAAAGATTGGCTCAACCCAAACTGTCTCGAGAAAAGCTGGGGGTAATAGGTGATAAGTTTAAAATCTTTCGACTGAAAACCCGATACCAGAACATCGTGGGTTAAATAATTACTCCATACATCTATCAGCTCCGATTGTAACCCAGGAGTCGAGACAGGAAACTTCGATTTAAACCAAATCGGCCCCCTAAGTTGACTACTTGTTTGTCCAAGATTTACAGTAAATGGGGCCAAGGTTGAGTCGAAAGTAAATCTGGTTAACAAAAATTGCAGGTATTTACAGTAGGTAGCCTCATCAGATTTATGGCGAGGGTGGCGAGAGGATAATCGGGCCCCTTCTATATTTACACTCGGGGGACGGAAGAAATTCGAGGAAGGACACTATCAAAAATCGAGGTGAGCCACAATCGTACAAACCAAACGGGGCTCGAAAAGTTTCCGATGCTTTAGGTGTGTTCAAAATTTCGACGACCTCGTCGAAAGTAGCATACACATGAGCTAGTAGTAACTTGGCCAAACATATCCTAGGGCGACCTATGTGCGGGACATATGCAAGGTCAAAAAGATGGGGGAAATTTGGATCGATCGGGGCAGAAACGTGGGTACACGGCCAATACACTAAGAATGCCACGTGCTCTTCATCGGTAACTGACTATCGAAGGGTCATCGATAAAATGCTTCTCGAGAAAATGACCATAGGCCTTCGATTCCCAATCAATTTTAGACTTCGGAGAATTATCAGAAGGACATATACCCTTGAAGTATTTTTCCCCGTAGGTTTTAAGCCGATAATAGCCGCGACCTCAAAAGGGTAGGTGAAAGTGGGCCACAAGGTAACTCCAAAGCATGTAAATCCTTATTCCACAAGTGCACACGAGATAAAAACATTGCCATATCCAAAAGCGACGAGTCGCATCGAGACGAGATGCAAAAAATCGAAAATTCCAACATCCTTCCAATGGCTCCCAAACTTAGTTTTTACCCTATCAAACCACCTAATGAAAGAGGATTTTTTAGAAGGAGGGCCTGTTCTATATACTTTAGAGGTAAGATTCAAAAAATCAACCCTAACTTCAGGGTGATGTATAAGAGCCGGGCTGATCGAGAGGTTGAGAGGGGAGAAAATGTCATCTATAGGACGAAGTGGACCCCCAAAAGCAAAATTAACCCCCTCAACAGTGTAAGGGATTAGTACCTGCGTTTCAGCAATTTTTCGGGAAGCCTCCTCCATCAAAGGGACTGGAGCGAACTTCTGGTTGTTAATTTCCAGCAGGTTGGAAGGCAACGAGGAAAGAGGTGGAACGGAGAAGTCAGAAGACTTGGAGGAAGTGGCCATTTCAGTAGTGAGTAGGATGAAGAAAAGCAACGGAAAAGATGAAGGTACAGAGATGAAAGCAAGAGCTCAAGGAAGACGATGAAAGTACAGACTTAGGGTAAAAGTTCGCGTAAAAACCAGAACAAAGACCAAGAGAAAGGTTAAAAGAGAAAATCGCCTAGGGAGCTGGAACGACAGATACGAAAAGTAATGAATGTAACGTACTGTAAAAGCAACAGACTGATATGATAGCGACGTAAAACGGAAAGGGAAACCTAAAACCCTTTTAACCCTAGAACCCCAGAAAACCTAAACCCTAAATTCTGTGGGCTTTCAAACATTAAGGCGGGAATATTGAAAGAATATAAACTGAAATCATCTATATTCCTTCAAGGGGGCATTTTATTAGTATGAAATCCAGAAATATGATCAATAAACGAACGAAAGAAATTCGAGGAACGAAATGTATGAAGATCTTTTCGATGATCAATTATAAAGAACGTAGCAAGTACAATCGAAAGGTAGAGTCGGAAAGGTAGGAGTAATAATCGAAAGTTTAACATGAAACCAACCAAGAAATTTGAAGTATATGAAGTTAAGGTTAAAAGGAATCGATGGCAAGTACACAAAGTTCTCGATTAGATCAAAAGCGAAGGGAAGGCTCGTTTACATAGATATCGAAACTCCGGCTAAACCTTGAAGGAAAATAGTCAAAACGCACGCATGGAAAGCAGTTTCTAAGTTATGGAAGAGCTGAAGATCATGAGAACGTGGGGAAACAATAGAAGAAAAACTGCCATACGCACGTAGAACGTGGTAACAGTCGTGTTAACTGCTCTTGGAAGGCTTGAAAGATGCCCTATAAATAGAGCAAAGAAGGAAGGAACGGGGAGCAAAAATTGGCGAAGCACGAGAATCGGTAGTGAAAAGTCTACCGGAGAAACGACGAACACCATGAAGTTTACGGCGATCTGGATTTCCTGCTCACGGAGTACATTTATCGCTTTCTTTATTTTCCTTGGTAATTTACTTTCGAGCCATTTCAATTCAGCAATTTCATATTCTTGCAATTTACATTTCGCACATTTCAATTTCTGTTATTTACTTTTTGTGCAATCTTAATGGGTTTTAGCAATTTACATTTCCGCATTTCGATTTCCGTTATTTACTTTTGTGCAATCTTAATGGGTTTTAGCAATTTACATTTCCTGCACATTTCGATTTTCTCGTTATTTACTTTTTGTGCAATCTTAATGGGTTTTAGCAATTTACATTTCCGCACATTTCGATTTCTGTCCTTTATTTATCTTGCAAACTTAATTTCTTGCAAATTTGGGGTTTTCGCACTTTCTTGCAATTTAATATTCTCTTTCTCGATTCGATACTTTCTTGCTTTGGTTGAGTCGAGCATTTTAGACATAAAATACCAAAAATAGGATTTCTTGATACTTATAGTTTTCGACTCTCATACACATTTTCGACTGAAAATCAAATTGCTAGCCTAAGTAAAAAAGAACTTACATGGTAGAATTTCGATTAGGACCAAAACACCCTTAGGATCGAAATCGATCAAAATTCCACCAGAAACAATGCTACAAATGCATGTCATGCATAATCGAAAGCAAAATTCACACTGAAAGTATAGTTAAAAAAAGAGAAATAAAATTATAATTTAAAATATGAGTTAGCTTCTTCTCTTTTTCTCTTCACTCGATTAAAAAAAACTTCATTTTTAATCCCACACATTTTCGATCATATATCTCGATCCAAACTGTACAGACACTCGTTGTTCCATCCTCCACTACATGGAAAAAATTGAGTGGCTTGGCCGACACATGTGTTTGAGGTATGACATGTGCAGAAATCGACGTGTCTCCTCTCATGGATTTTTTATGCTTTTGAGGGACACTTGTTTCACAATCCTGTCTCCTCCTCAAACTTCCAATCATATTTCTCCATCTATCTTTTTTTTTCTCTTTTTTATTTCATCCCATTTATATTCTCTCGTCACCTTTGTTCAATCATATTTATTTAATATTATAAAGATTAAAATTAATTTATCTTTATACTATAAATAAATATAATTCAATCCTTCTTCATTTTCTATTTTAAATATATATTCATCTACCATCACCGCAATTACTAAATAAATTATCATCTCAATTACTTTAACACAAAAACCAGCGGCATTTAAAAAATCTCAATTATAGGATCATCTTCTAGCTTGTGATATCTGAATTCACACTTTAATAAGAAACCGTTCCTATCATTAGAAATAGAATCAACTTTTGATGGATTTATTATAAAATTAAATAAACATTTTATTTTTTATTATGCTCAGGCTAGTTGTTAGTTGAAATTAAATTAAATAGATAAGATTGAATCAATAAATAAAAATAAACTATAATGTATATTAATTTCAATTTAAAATGAATTCAGTCTCTCTCTCTCTCTCTCTCTCTCTCTCTCTTATATATATATATATATATATATATATATATGCTAAAAAATGAGTTTATTATTTGGTGAGCAGAAGAAAATACCGCATTTTAAAAATATTTATTATTTATTCAGTGTAATTTTGGATATTGAATCAGCAGCATACTAATATAAGAAAATTTAGATAATGTTTTTAGATTTAGAAAAGTATGTAATAAATAACAATATATCTCCTTAACCTAAAACAGAGGTGGCTACAACTCATCCAATAATTAATGTCTTCATAATGGATTTCTGATGAATCCAGCTTCCATAAAGACCTTAACAAAACAACATAGCTATAGTCTACTGTGGTTGGACCTTATTCAGCGAAGCTCCAAAGAAGTATCAAAAGAAAAGCTAAAAAACAAACGGTCAGAAATAAAAGTAAATGAAGAAATAAAGGCACCTCACAATGCCGTATCAAGTTTAGAAAAATCTGAGAACTGTGATTGAGCCACCAGCTGCGTAGTTACTGGCTTCACAGTCTTGTTTCACTGCTATCATGACGTTACAACCTACCTCGTGAGTCACCCCACGAATTTTATTTTATTTTTTGTTTCTTTCTCGAGAAAATTCACATTTTTCTGCTTTGAGGGCACCCTTTTGGAGTGTTGTCGTCAAGGAAAACAGCTTTGGTCTTTTTTGTTGTGTTGAGGTTTGGGTAACTTGAATTTGGTTTTGGCATCTTTTGATAGCGTGGCTTGGATTTGTTTGTAGCTGTTCTGTGGTGGTGATCTAGGAAGTTTGTGATGCCAGAAAAGGTGGCTCCTTGGTCTTCTATTAATTGGCGTTTGGGGTTGCTCACTGCTCTTGTTTTGGGTGGCATGGTTGTGGTTTGGACTGCTGATGGATTCACTGTTAGGAACGTTGTTGAAGCCTGGAGTTGGAGGTATAGTCAAGATCCTTTTTCTCCGATGTCTCATTTTCCTAATTCCACTCTTTCCCTTCATCAAAATCTCACTTTTAGCGATTGCAGCTCCCCATGTAGTCCACTTAGTTTGAATAAAAACCAAACCAATGTTACTACCATCCTTGATTCTCACAATCAAGTGAATATCGCACTGTCTGAGTTTGGCAAAACTAAGAATTTTAGTAGTACTTGTCGGGTGTCTGATAAACATGACAAGAAAACCCCCGAGAAGTCTGAAGTTAGGGGGCTTTCAACTTGGCTTTCAAGTGAATTGGAGCCAAACTTGACTTCAAGTCTTCTAGCTAGATGGTTAGCTCCAGGGGGAGAACCTTGTAAAGATTCTAAGACAGCTGGAATATCAATGCCTGGGTTGGATAATGGGAAACTGATTGAGCTGTCAGCTGGGGAAGTGCATGAGTTTATTTTTCAGGCATTGGATGATTCAGGAAAGCCTCGATGTTTAGGTGGGGATTACTTTGAGACTGATCTTTCAGGGGACTCATGGAAATCTAGGCCATTGGTGAAAGATTTCAATGATGGTTCTTACTCTATTTCTCTTCAAGTTCATCCTGATTTTGTTGGGGTTTACAATCTTACTATAATTCTGCTCTATAGACACTACGAAGGTCTGAAGTTCACTCCATGGAAATTTGTCTATGATCGAGTGGTTTGGAGTGTTACAATCGGGTTCTACAATAGCATTGCTCAGCTACCAGGACTTGAGACTTGTAAAGCTTCTGATTTTGGCAAGGATGTGTGGTGTGGAAGGTGGACAAGGCTTGGCAAGAATGATGACTGTAAAATAGGTAATGATGGTAGGTACAGATGCTTGGCAACAGATTTTCCCTGTAAAGAACCATGGTGTGATGGTTCCTTGGGAATTCTAGAAAGTAATGGTTGGGTGTATTCAACTCACTGCTCATTCAAGATGTATTCAGCTGAGTCTGCTTGGAAGTGCTTGAAGAATAGGTGGATTTTTTTCTGGGGTGATTCAAATCATGTTGACACAATACGTAATATGCTCAATTTTGTTCTAGATTTGCCTGAAATATATTCTGTCACCAGGAGATTTGACATGAACTTTTCGAACCCAAAAGACCCTTCTCAAACAGTTAGAATCACAAGCATTTTCAATGGGCATTGGAATGAAACACAAAACTATTTAGGATTGGATTCTCTGAGAGATGAAGGGTTTCAAAATCTGTTGAAGAAGTACTTCTCAGAAGACACAATCCCAGACACTGTGATCATGAACTCAGGATTGCATGATGGTGTTCACTGGCGTAATATAAGAGCATTTACTGTTGGAGCAGACTATGCAGCATCATTCTGGAGAGATGTTATGATGGAAGCGAAGCAAAGGGGATTAGCTTGGCCTAGAGTCTTTTATCGTTCCACAGTTGCAACTGCTGGATATGCAAGATCACTAGCGTTTAATCCTTACAAAATGGAGGTGTTCAATGGTGTGCTAATCGAGAAATTGAAGAAAGCTGGCATCATCACTGGGGTGATTGATGACTTTGATATGACATTTCCATGGCATTTTGATAACCGGTGTAATGATGGCCTTCACTATGGAAGGGCTCCTGCAAAAATGAAGTGGCGTGATGGTCAAATTGGTCATCAGTATTTTGTTGATGTTATGTTAGCTCATGTTCTGCTTAATGCATTATGTGCAAGGTAACCTGGGAGCTTCAGTTGGAAGAGAAGGGACAATTGAAACACTGTAAAATTTCCTACAATGTGGATGTGGTTGGAATGCTGGCATTTCTTACAGACGCATACCATAGCAAGTGCTTGGATGAAGAAAAGACTATTGAGGTACCCTCCACTGTAAAATTGGATTAAGCATTCTTTCGTTCATTGATTTATAAGCACTGAGTTGTGTATTCATGAACACCATTTCTAGATTAGCAGAGGATTTATATCCTCAAAACACGTTTTGCTATGAATAATAAACATCAAAGTTTAAACATTAAGCTTTCCATTGCTTTCTAATTTTCAACCAATGTAAAAGGATGAGATTGAGAATTGATAGCAGAAGGTGAAACTTCCAATCCAAACCTCCTCAATTTATTCTACCTTCTGGTAAGAATTTTGTCTACATGATTACATTCTTGGTTACATGTTCTGCGATTGGAGTGAACAGCACTTTAAAAGAAATTATGACAATTGGCATTTTCCACCAAACAAGTGAAAATAAAAATAATTAGTGTTGAACGCAGAGGGAGTATTTTAGACATTTATGTAAACTGATAAATAGTAGGATGAATGAAATAGGATATTTTTTTTATCTAACAGCATAAATTATAAGCGCCCTGAAAATTAAAGGATGTTTTTCCCACTCTGAAAGTTCTATAATTAGGACAGTTAGAGATATACAGATATCTAGGATTTAGGGTCTGGAAAGAACAACTTCGACACCTATGGGTGTCAGGAGCGTGGAGTATTGGCTCACAATCTTTACTACTGAGATAGGTGTTGGTGGACTTCACCAGTAAGTCATGGTCGGAGAGCTCCAAGGGGACAACCATGACGGTGAAGACGTCGATGACCTTAACAGTGACCTTGTGGAGGGAGTGGAAGACGACGGTTGGGTGGATGCTGAGGGAGAAGAGGAGGCATTACTGGAGTAGGATGCCAGCAACGATAACAACCACGTTGGTGTGTCGTGGTGGTGGAGTCTTTGACTTAGAGAATTCGAAGAGAATCTTGACTGTAGGAGAAGGAAAAGAGGAAAGCCACAAAATAAACAGATTTGAGTGGGATTAAGATTTACAATTTTTTTATCATAGCAAAGGAGGAAAGCCTTTTTATCATATCTACTTTCGTACTTTTTTTTTACAGTATTTTTGAATAATTTTTTTTATATTTTTAATTTTTAATTTTCATAATTACATCTTTTAAAAAAAATTCTAAAATTTTATGTTTTTTTTTTAGATTTATTATATTTTTGCAATGTATATATTTTACACTTTCATTATTTTTACCATATTTTTGCATCTTATATATTTCATATTGGGAGATTTTTTTATAAAATTCCACAATTTCATACTTTTTTTATTCTAGTATTTTTAAATGATGAAAATGCTTTTTAATGGGATAAGATGCAAAAATGATGGAAAACACTTTCATCATTTTTTTAATCAATAAAACTATAATAAAAAATGTTTAAGTGATTTTAATCGATTATTTTTAAAATATATAAATTAAAACTACAACTAGAAAGATTGTAAAAGAATTCTAGGGAGAAAGGCGTGTTTTTCTCTTGAAAAAAATTTGTAAAGATTGCTTGTTTAGTTTCTTAAACATTAGATATATTTGAAACATTAGAAAAGATCTATTTATATAAAAAAAAAATTCACTAATTGATGTGATTAATCGATTAATTTGATCTTTAATTGATTAAAATAACTTAGTTTAAATAAATTTAATATTCTTGTTATATATTCATGTTTTCTGAAAGTAACTTACACAAAATTATTAAAATCTTACTAGTAACTAGCTTAACATTTGTTGAAGTGAAAATTATTTTCTTTTAAGGTAAATAATGGATGTGATTTACAACAATGTTACTTTGATTAATTCGTCTTTATGGTTTTCACATAATAAAATGTATTAGATGTCTTTTATGTGGAGTATTCCTAATCTAGAATTTTAACAAAAAATTGTAACTACTCCACAAAATTACATTACTAGATTAATTGGATAGGCATAATTTTTATAATCAATCAAATATACTACATATCAATATTATAAATTAGAAATAAAAATAGAGTGTGCAAATAAATATTGTGAATGATTCCAATTTGTATATAAGAATCAGCATATCTTGTGCACATTTTTCATGTGGAAGAATAGACACTAAATTAGTAAACATGATAATATCACTTTAATCATGGAACATATTAATTGATCATGGTATTCTCTATGTTCTGCTTGCCACTTTTTTTCAAGCAATAGGGAGAAGTGGGAGAAGATGAAAAAGATGAAGAAAGGGAAAGTGAAGAGGAAGAAGAGAAGAAAGAAGTGGGAGAAAATAAAAAAGAGAAGAAAAGATAAGATAAAGGGGAGAAGATAAAGAGAATTAATAAGGATAAGAAGAATAGGAGAAATAAAAAGTAAGTTAAGGTGGTAGAAGAGGAAAGAGAAGATGAAGAAACAGATAAAGTGAAAAAAATGAAAAGAATAAGGTTAATATTAATATTAAAAATTAACAATAAGAATATAGTGTCTAAATAAATATTATAAATGATTTTAACTTGTACATCAAAATCATCATATCATACTGTTTCTGGTGGAATTTCGATCGATTCCGATTCTTAAGAGGTTTTGATTCTAATCAAAATTCAACCACGCAAGTTCTTTTTTACTTAGGCTAGCAAATTGATTTTCAATTGAAATGCGTATGAGAATCGAAGTTTACATAGTATCGAAAATGCTGTTTTTGGTATTTTATGTTTAGAGTGTTCAAAGTAAACAAAGCAGTAGAAACGTCGAATCGAAAAGCAAAACAGAAAATTGAGTTGCCAAGAGGTAAAAATGCAGAAACCTTAAATTTGCATTAAATGGCAAGAAATTGGAGTAGCGAGAATGTAAATGACAGGAAATTGAGATTGCAGAAAATATAACTGGCAGGAAATCGAAATACGCAGAAAATGTAAATAGCAAGAAATCGAGATTACAGAAATGTAAATAGCAAGAAGCTTAAATGCGGAAACTTAACTTTCATTAAAGGAAATGACAAGGAATCAAGAATACAGAAACTTAAAGTTGCTAAAGATAAATTGCATCAAATTAGATTACCAGGGAAAATAAAGAAAGCGGTAAAGGTACTCAATGAGCATGGAAATCCAGATCGCCAGAAACTTCATGATGTTCATCGTTCTCCGGTAGACTTCTCACTAGTATTTCTGTTCTCTACCAATTTTTCCACCCCCCCTTTCTTTTCATCTTTTGCTCTATTTATAGATCCTCTTTCAAGTAGTCTCTTAGGAGCAGTTAACGAAACTGCTACCACGTTCTTCGTGCATGTTTCGGTTTCTTTTCCTATGGTGTTAAAACCGCACTCACGTTCCCATGATCTTCGACCTCTGCCATGGTTAAAAAACTGCTTCCTATCTGCGTGTTTAACTATTCTTCTCTTTATGATTTGGCCAAGGTTTCGATATCCACGTAAGTTAATCTGCCCCTCAATTTCGATTTTAAGATCTCGAGAACTTTGAATTACTTTCGATTCCTTTTAACCTTAACGTCATATACGTCTAATTTATTGGTTTTATTCGAAAATAGACATAATTTAACTATTATTCCTTCGATTCTTGATTCTACCTCTCGATTTTATATGTCACGCACTTCTAATTGAATATCGAATGGTTTCTCATCCATCTTTTCGATTTATCAATGAATCACATGTTTCTCGATTTTTCTTTCCTTCGTTTTTCGATCACTTTTCTCGATTTTCCACTAACAAAATGCCCCCTTGAAAGAATATAAATAATTTCCGTTTATATTCTTTCAACATTCCCGTCTTGGTGTTTGGAGGCCCACAAAACTTAGGGTTTAGGGTTTTTGGGGTTTTAGGGTTTACAGGGTTTTTAGGTTTCTTTTTACTTTATGTCGCTATCGCGTCAGTCTGCTGCCTTACTGTACATGCCACATTAATTACCCTTCGCCTCCGACGTTTCCAGTACCTTAGGTGGCTTTTCCTTTAAACTCTTTGTTAGTCTTTTACCCTGGTTTTTTACGCGAACTTTTACTCCTTGCAATCTTCATCTTCTACCTTGCGCCTCTGTCTTTCAACCTTACTACTTCGCCTTTTGCCCTTTGTTCCTCCATTCTACCAGCTTATTGAAATGGCAACCTCGTCCAAATATTCTGACTTTTCAGCCCCACCCCTTCCCTCGCTGGCGTCTAGCCTTCTGGAGATCAACAATCAGAAGTTTGCTTCAGTCCCTCTAATGGAGGAGGCTTCCCAGAAGGTCGCTGAGACGCAGGTACTCGTCCCTTATATTGCTGATGATGTGCATTATGCTTTTGGGGGCCCTATCCGCTCTTGTGGCGGATCTTTTTCTTCCCTTAATCTTTCCTCAAATAGCCAGGCTCTCGTTCACCAATCTGAAGTTAGGGTTGATTTTTTGAATCTTGCCTCTAAAGTATATCGAACAGGCCCCCCTTCCAAAAAACCTTTGTACATTAGATGGTTCGATAGAGTTAAGACTAAGTTCAGGAATCATTGGAGAGACATGGGGATTTTCGATTTCTTGCACTTGTCTCGATGTGACTTCACATTTGGATATGACTATGTTTTTATCTGCTGTTCATTTGTGGAATAAGGAATTACACGCTTTGAAATTACCTTGCGGTCCCCTTTCGCCCACCCTGTTCGAAGTTGCTGCGATCACTGGTTTGAAGCCTTCAGGAGAAAAATATTTTAAGGGTGCATATCCCTCGGATAATTCCCTAAGATCCAAAATCGATTGGGAATCGAAAGCTTATGGACATTTCCTCGAGAAACATTTCGTTGATGACGAATCAATAGCTGTAACTGATGAAGAACACATAGCCTTTTTGGTGTACTGGTTATGTACCCATGTTTTCTGCCCCCGATCTATCCAAATTTCCTCCCACCTTTACAACCTTGCCTACCTCCTTCATACTGACCAGCCTAGAATATGTTTAGCC